ATAATTAAGGGTTAGTTTTGGCAAGTTAGACCATGTTATATTTTATATATGCCTGTGTGTGTATAGGTTGTATAAAATAAATGATATAAATATGTTATAAATATGTAAAATTTGAGATTTTACTAAAAATAAGTTGAAACATTAGGCTTGGGATTTCTTTTTAAAAAGTCAAAATTATGTAATTTGTCATTACATAATTTGGGTTATTTTCATTTTTGCCTTTATTTTTTATAGACAAGGTCTTGCTTTGATAGTTCACTATAAGCTCTAACTTCTGGGCTCAGGCAAGTTTCCTGCCTCAGTCTCCCAAGTAGCTAGAACTACAGACACATGCCACCATGCCCAGTTAATTAAAAAAATTTTTTTTTCAGAGATGCTATCTTGCCCAGACTGGTCTTGAACTCCTGGCCTCAAGTGATCTTCCTGCTTTGGCCTCTCAAAGTGCTGTGACTACAGGCATGAGTCACACCACCTGGCCTTGCCTAGGTCTTTTAAGTGAGAATATTAACTTGAAGTTCCACTGTATTTTTAAAAATCATGTAGGAAAGAGGACTTTTTTATAGATGGGAATTTTATCTTAAAATGTCCCTTAAAATATGAAAACTCAGAAACATATTTTATAAATACATAATATAAAAATATAAAATTTTGCATTCCTTGATGTAAAAAAAATAGAATGAAGATAAAATCAAGAGCTAAGTTTTTATTCTATATTTGGTCTGGGTACTGACTTTGAAGTCAAGCTACCTTTTTGTTTCTCCTTGCACAATTCTCAGTAACCAGTCTTCCATTTAACAACATCTTGGGTCCAGAAGCATCCCTGGGTTTTGTGTAAACTAAATACAGAAATCAATTTATCCAACTGTGAGGTATAATCATCTCTTGGGTATAAAATGACATCTGGTTCATGGTGTCATCCGCATTATATAGCCACACTAAAGAAAAAATGACACACAGAAAGATAAATTAAAGATAAATTCAAATTCATGTGAACATAATGGAGTTCCCAAGCTGATGATATATGACTGATGCCTAAAGCAACAATCAGCAAATGGTTTAGTAATAGATGCACATAATTCCAGAGACTGACAAGCCAAAAGCTGGTCTCAGACTCAGATATACATGAACAGTTATTCTGTGCTACCTCTTTGTAGGTGTGGGGTACCAAGATACAGTCAAATACAGAAATGTTTCTAATGCTTACCTCAGAATGTCAAGCATTACTTAGAATGATGTATCTGATATGCAACTTGGTAGTTTATCATAAAATACTCTTTTTAAAATTTGAACAATTGCTACTTTTTGATGTCTCCAAAATGTTCATTTATAACTTTGACGTTTTTCATACACAACAGTTGTACCTCTAACTTCCTGTCTTTAGAAACTATGTTATCATCTCAAATTCAGCCTTTCTAAAATCAAATTAATGTTTTCCTCTGAACACGGGATCATATTACTGATTTCTCAGTTCTGTTGCACCGCTATTTTCCCTTATTATTTGTGTTCAAAGCCTTTCAGGGATGTTTTGGTACAGTATATGTGCTAAAACTTCTAGTCATTTTGCATACAATATCATTGTGAAACAGGTTTATTTTGAAAACATGCCATGGATACATTGGGGAAAAAACACCTTTAGTTCAAGATATCAAACCAGATTTCTCAATACCCAATTAAATTACACATCCTGCTTCTAACCACGTAAAATGAGAAAATATGACACTTTAGGAAAGATATTTGATCATCTAAATAAAATTAGCAGCAAGGAATAAAACATATGGTAGAATTTTTACCTGAAAAAAAAATCAAGACCCTATTTCTCTCTTGATGAGGAAAGAGTTTCTGATTTTATAGAAATCATCTGTTTACACTACAGAAGAATATTTTATCTTTTTTTTTTTTTTTTTTTTTTTTTTTTTTTTTTTTGAGACGGAGTCTTGCTCTGTCGCCCCAGGCTGGAGTGCAGTGGCCGGATCTCAGCTCACTGAAAGCTCCGCCTGCCGGGTTTACGCCATTCTCCTGGCTCAGCCTCCCGAGTAGCTGGGACTACAGGTGCCCGCCACCTCGCCCGGCTAGTTTTTTTTTTTGTATTTTTAGTAGGACGGGTTTCACTGGGCGTTAGCCAGGATGGCCTCGATCTCTGACCTCGTGATCTGCCCGTCTTGGCCTCCCAAAGTGCTGGGATTACAGGCGTGAGCCACCGCGCCCGGCCGTGTTTATCTTTTTAAAAAATGTGGCAGGGTGATTTTTTGTTTTTTCCCCCACTTCTTCCTGATGATTTTCCTGGGCACGGCCTCCACCAAGAATCAGATTACAGAAGCAGCCATTGATGATACAACCTAATGTGGAGACTCTTGGAATCCTGGGGAGGAGACCAAGAGATGAGAGTGTCAGCTCCCTAATTTTAGGGACCTGTATCAGATGAACTGGGGAAGAGGACTGGAGAATTTGAAGAGTGAAAAGCACACACAACTTTCTCCTCATGCTCCATCTCAGACTCTGTCTGAATTGGAAGAGATAATTAAAATCAAACAATAAAGATGTTCTCTATATGCATCTGGGTCCTGGCTAACAGGACTTTGGTTTAAAAATGGGCCATATGACTGTTTTTCTCTACAACAAAGGACATGATACTGGAGACAGAATCCTCTTCAGGATAGAATCCTAGGGGTCTATTTCTGTATATGGCAATGTTACGTTTTTAGGTCATGCCCCATTACAAGAATGTTGACAAGAAAGCTCACGGAAGAGATTTGTGAAGGATAAGGAGTTAGTAAGGAAGAGCCGATTCTTGACAGGGCTGATATTTGCCTCCAAGTGTCATCATGAATTTGAATATTGCTAGTATAACATTTTCCCATTATAATTGCAAACACTCTATTTTTACAAGGTAGCAGGCCAGACTGTTGGAAATTGGCAAAATTGGATGAAAATAAGCACATCCACCTTTTCGGGAGCTGCCACGAAGGAAGAGGTTCTTTCATACACATTTCGTATTTTGCAGAGTAGTTTGGTCCTTTCTAGCTTATCATCCTTCTCATGTGTATTGGGAGAGAGAGAGTTAGAGACAATTAAAAAATCAATGAGAATCCTGTTACTAGAGAATTCACTGTAGCCCTACTACTAGAGAACTAAGAAATGCCCCAAATCAGTGACTGCAAATCACCAACAAATCCTTAGCACTTCTTATGTGCCATAAACCTTGCCAAATGCTTGACACAATGTATGTTTTTCAATCCTCGTCGCAATTCTATGAGATAGAGACTATTAACCAATTGTGAAGATAAGGAAATAGGTTTGGTGAGGTTAAATAACTTTGATAAAATCATTCAGCAGATAATAACAAGAATACTTATCATGATAAAGCAAACAGTTGCATAGAACTTACTGAGGGCCTCCTACTGCTAAGTGATCAATATATACTAAAAATATATACTAAAAAGTTTAAACCCACAGCAACCCTATGAGGTAGGTACTGAAATTACTATAATTATTCTCATTTTTATAGATAATTAAATTGAGGCCTGGAAAGATTAAGTTACTTTCCCAAGTCACAAATCTAGTAAGTGGTAGAATCAGAATTCAAAATTAGGATTTCAGTCCTCACAATCTGTACTCTTTACCATGAAGCTATGGGAATACATTATAGAACCATAGATCCAAGGAAGGAAACCTTACCTCCCCCAAGCTTTTACCATCAAAACCTAAGTGTCTGCATACATAAAAAATAGTTACAGAGTGAATAAGACCTAATATTTGATAGCACTATAGTCAACAATAACTTAATTGTACATTTCAAAGTAACTAAAAGAGTATGACTGGATTGTTTGTAACAAAAGGATAAATGTTTGAGGGGATGGGTACCCAATTCTCTGTGATGTGATTATTAATCTCTGTATGCCTGTATCAAATATCTCATGTATGCTATAAATATATACACCTACTATGTACCCATAAAAATTTAAAATAAAAAAATTAATAATAAAAAACCTAAGGGTCACCCCTTGAAACACAGCTATTGATATAAACGTATTGTCTTTTTTGTTTTTCATAGTTTTGATATATGAATGTAGATATTAAACATATTCTATTGATATGATTTATTCTCAATAGCAAAGGATTGTGATTAAAGCAATGGAAATTAAGGACACAAAGATATCAGAAGGCAAGCACTTTGAGATGTTTATCTCTCCATTATTTTGAACCTTTAGGTCAACTTCTTTTGAATAAGTGTGTAGGTTAGTAAACTGAGTGAACTATAGAAAATTACGTTATTGACGTATTTTTGTGTGTATGGTTATACTACTTAACAAGTAAGTGATCTCCAAGAAAATCAGTCCTAAGTCAAAAACAGTATTGAGTAAATTAATGTGCCTTTACTATTGGTGGGCAATAATGAATATTCTGCTAATCTTTAGAATTATTGCAATTAGCACCCAGCACTACATCGCAGACTTCCTTCATGACTTAATCTTTATTTTTAATCTGAAATTGATTTTACATTTGTAATTATTGGTCTACTATGTGGTGTTTGGCCTTTACTAGCTATGCAAAACAATAGCTGGATACTAGAAGGCATTTTATTATAATCTTACTGTTTTTACCATGATTGAATGGTAAAAATATGTCACCACTATTATGATGTCATTTTAAACTTAAATAAGCTTAGACCACTTATTGAAAAATCCTGCATAATTTTAAATTGATGTTGACATTAAAAAGTATTGCCTATAATGATAGTGTCTTGTAGCTTTAAGTAGCAGTCTGAAGTAAATCTAGTAATAATTATGGTTACATCTTGATCACTTGCCTTTTCCTGTTTATTAACCTTGTAAGGAAACATATTGTTAGAGTCATCTTTAATTCATACAAAAAATTAATCCCCTTCCATCCCTTCTTAGACCTTAAAACAAGAATAGAGAGTGTGAGTTCAGTGCTCGAACTTTTTTCCTGGAGAGATTCCCACATGCAAAACGGAGGCAAATCTACTAAAAGCTAAGTACCTTCATCACACATCAGCTTCGAGGACCTTCTGTTACTGTCTGTCCATCTCTTCATCTCTCTTGGGAGGAGCCCGAACCCGCACAGCCCAGGGCCTGCTGAAACCAGCCAGTGGTAGAGCCGTCAAGACCAGCCTATTTGAAAAGAAAATAATGAAAGACAAAATCTCATCAGCCAACCTGAATTGCTGATCCCCGGAGGGTGCTCTAAGAAAAGTTGGAAAAGATTATGTAAAATAGCTCTCATATGTTAGGCAGGAAAAATTACTTATTGCCTCTAAACAGAAAGATTGTAAACAAGGTTTCCCATTTTTGCAAGAAAGAAAGATCAGTTGCATCAGATGCTGCCTTCAAACACAGCTTCTATAAAGTGCCATCAGGTTTAGATTCAGCCACTTGTGTCCAAGAGAGAAGGGGAGAAATGGGAGAGATTTATCTCTCTTGTCTCTAAGCCTCCTTCTGTGTTGGGCAGAGCCCAAAGTCTAAACAGATAGGATCCTTTATCCAAAACCCACACTTCTGCCTTTTCATCCTAAAAGTGAAACAAAACAATTTGGCAGTTCAATCGTCAAAGAAACAGTAATATTTTGTAAAGAGTTAACCATGAAAATGTGACCAAATCAGTATTTGTTTACTGTCTCCTCTTATTAAGAATATGCAGTTTATGTATAAATTTGTGTAATTCTTACTTTGACTTAAAAAATTATGAATAAATGAATGTGTTTCATAGTTATACCGATGCTGTTATTGATTTTAACTATATTACAAGTTGATGGTTTGTATATATAAATGTTACAGACAAAATCAATGAAATTTAAAGTATGTGTGACCTCTAATTGTGTATGTATTTTCACATATTTTAAAAGTTGCTAAATAAGCATGATAACTTGAATTTCTTTCTCTTTCTTTCAAACTCTACCTACCCCAAGCCTCACTATTATTTTGCACCCTTTCCTGATCACTCTAGTCCATAGCAGTCTCCTTTTTGTAATAAACCCAAAGAACGGTCGTTTCTAAACATTTTGCCATAAAGCAAGTTAATTTTTACCTTTTGTAGACCCCACCTATGCTTCCAGATTTTAGTTAGCAAAGATGTATTTACTTTGTCATTTGTTTCTTCACTTTCTATTTTATGGGTACTATTAACCAGCAGTAGACAATAGTGGCACTGATTTGCCAAATTTGATGAAAAGAGCCAGGTCTGGGATTTGGACTGAGTGAATGTGGGCAGATGTGGTACAGGTGTTTGGAGGACACAGAGGCTGAAGTCCTCGGACTCCTCAGCAGAGCAGAGCAGTGTGGATTAGGGCTTGGACAGAGAGAGAGCGAGCTGATGACTGGAAGTGTGTGATTGCCAGAGATGAGTGGGAATGCTGCACAAAGCCAGGAATGGACCAGGAGCTGGATCACCCATTGTCAATGTAGGATCTGATTGTAAGTGAGAGGCAAATAGCACAAGAAGTACATAGAGAAAAATTAAGAGCAATCATCTGTCACTTGTATATTATTATATAATTAAAGCATGGATCCATTCATCAAGAAAGTGTCTTGCCTTATCCCTGGAGTGTCATTCCTATTTGAGTCTTTAGGGGAACCTAAACAACTTCTGAAATAATTTTAGCAAAGTGTTTGTCTCTGGTAAATGCACATTAGCTTTAAAAAACTATATTAAAAATATTAAACATTTATGAAGAATCACTGTGCTGCCTCTTCCTATGAGAAGTTCCAGTCCCAATTTCACTGGTCTAGGGAAAAGGAGTGGAAAGAAAATGTGCTATTTCTTTCTGAACAATAGCTTTAAGAGCTCTCCTGTGGCTCCACCATGCTATCTTTTCCATTTGCCATAAAACCAGCAAAGTTTTAGGTAGGGAATAAAAAGAAGCTGGAACAGATATCATGTTGGACCCCAGGTAGACATGCAATGTGAGTGAAAAATCCACCTTTATTTTGTAAGTCGCTGAGATTTTTGAGATTGCTTGTTATCATGGCATTGTTTAGCATGATCTGATAGCATACATTGTCATTGACATGATTGTTTATCCTGGAGGTCAGTCAGTATTCGTATGCCCTTTGCATTTTTTACATAGTATTTTTAAATCTTATTTACCTAAGTTGTATGTCCCTTGAGAATAACTTTAATATCTTTTTTTTTTTTTTTTTTTTTTTTTTTTTTTTGCTTTTTGATCCACCATTTAAACAGTAAACTTCTGAAATAAAGAACTTTAGAATGTGTCAAGGTTAATCAATGAGTGAATAACTTAACATATGCTCCATTTTAGTAACTATGAGTGATACAAACATGTCAAAGAAAGTGCAATTAAGATAAATATTTCCATATCGACAAGTCTATAGCAATTACCAATCAATTCATCTCTTTCTGATAGTAAAGCAAACGATACTTCCATTCTTTAATGAGACATCTGAAGGCACAGTGTACAATTAAAAACTATAAATATATGGTTGAAATTATTTTATAAAAATAAAGCATCACACTTTTAACTTGCACTACTGACGACTGCCTAATATGGCACTTGTTGTACACATTTTCAAGAACAGAGTTACTTTAAAACTAAAGTAGGGGAAGTTTCAGATGGGAAGCTTTGCTGGTAACCTCAGGATATTTACTCCATTTCTGAGGCTGACCCTCACCCTTGATGTGAGAAAATTAGGTTTAAGTTTCTATTGACTGATAGATTGAAAAGAATTATAATTATACCAACTGAAGTATGATTGAGGATGCCAAGTTATTTATTTACAGACAAGAATAGCTATGTTCATGATCCTTTCTCCTGGTACTCTTATTCAGGAAAGGTCAGGGACTAGGAAGTACATAGAGTTGGAACTAGTTGTTGGAGATTTTTCATGAGAAGTACGTATCACGTGGCCATTTTATTGAAATGTAATTTCAATAGTTGGAAGTAATGAAATCTCTTTGTCCTGTATTAAATAATAGGTCTCTAGTGGTAGAATGCATTTGTTAGATTCATCACTGTTCTTCCCTTTTCCACTAATGTTGCTATTTGAAATCCATATTCAATCTGGGTCATCTTTTCTCATTTATATGGCATATGTATTTTTTCTTTTGATGTACTCATGTTTCTAATAAGTTTGAAGAAAACATTCTTGCCTGTCAGATGGTAGAACTGCCTGATAAACCAGTGTTTTTACTTAATAATTGAGCTCTTCGTGGAGAATATCCTCTTTTTATGTTTTCTTGTTTGTAAGAAGTACTTCCCAATTGCTATCATGTACTGCTTCTGAATAGCCTGGGGGCAACATGCAGGTAACTGTGAGAAAAAAGTACTTTGCTTAGTATTCAGAAGACCTAGGTTCCAGACCAGGCTTTAGATTGTATTATCTGTGTGACTCTGATTAAATTACTTATTTTTTCCAAGCCTTGGTTTTCTAATATGTAAAATAGAAGTTATGTTATCTTCTTCACAGAGTTGTAAGGATAAGTAAATGCTATGCGAATATGGGCTAATATAAACATAGACTTGAGGGTGTCATCAGGTAGCACAACCATAGCTCTATGTGTTCTTAAACTTCTCTCGTACAGCCTAGACACCACAGCAGTGGCTGGACCATGTATTTAAGGAATTCTATCTTCTCCTGGAAAGGTCCTTGTCTTCCTCCCACCATCTGATTCATAGTCTTTCACTGCAGTTTGATTAAAAGACCCTTAGAAGTAATTTGGTCATGTGTCTGTGTTTACCTCAGTCAACATAAGACACCCCAAAACCCCATAATCATCATTCATGCCTTAGACTTCCATGCCTATATGGTTCTGTGTATTCCATAATTTGACTCACCCTAACACTTTCAGTCATTAGCAAAATCTTCGATGTCAGAGGTAGAGAACATTATTTTTAAAGGGCCAGATAGAAAATATTTTAGGCCTTGGGAGCCAAGAGACAAAATCAAGGATATCATGGAGGTATTTCTATAACCATTAAAAATGTAACTATTTTAAAATACAAAACCTATTCTTTGCACCTGGACATAAAAACAAGAGTTTGACTGACCACAGCCTGGCAACCCCTGCTCTGCATCTTCAGTCTCCTCACAAAAATTTCTCTTCCCCCTCTTGGTTTATGTGGACCCTGGCTCTCCCCAAGCACTGCTCCCTGAGCATATTTCTATGTGTCGTCCTCATTAACGATGACTTTTTCCATCTACAACCTTCATATCACCATGCCTGGAGGTAAGAGTAAGGGTCTTCCTAGATCTCATTGCTGCCTGCAGACCATTGTAACAACCCTCTTCCTCTTTCAAACATTCCTTCTCAGAAACATATGCTGCTTGATTATTCCACCTTCTATTCATTCTTGCCGTAATCATCACCAGATTTCTGAGACACTACTTCCTCATCTCGTCAACTTACAATCATAAGTAGATCCTATCCATTATGCTACCATCTATCCTGCTCCAACACAACTCCTATCATAAATCATGGTGATTTCAGTATCTATGCAGAGAAACCTTTCCAGCATCCTGACTGCTCAGGTCCTTGACCCCCTCATCTCATTAACTTGCCTTCCAGTGCACCTTAGTCGCTGTAGCTATGCCTAGATCTTGTTGTTATGAATTATTGCACCTTTTCATAATCTCAACTTTAAGCACTCCAATCTCAGACTTTTGCGTGCCTACTTCCCGCCCTCCCCCGCCCCCGCCACCCGGTCTCTCATTCTCACTCTGTCTGGTACGCTAACTCCAAAATGCCTTTCTTTCCAGTTCCTATTTTTCCACTTTCCATCATATCCTTATCCTTACATAGCTTAGATGCTGTGGTCCATCATTATACTGACTTTCCTGCATACCACCTCAGCTATTTTCTCATCCATTATCTTGGCCTAGAAAAATCCCAAGCTTATTAAATTCAACTCCTAACTCACTATTCGGCTGCCCAAGCAGCTGACTTGAGCTGAGGAAAACCATACAATCAGGTTCTTGTGTCTCTCATTAAGTTCACAACCACTACTCTCAGGTGAGCTCTTAGTGCTGCTCTGCAACACACCTCTTTATCCTTAGGTTCTGTACTCCTCTCCTAGAAGATTATTTCACACCTGAAAAAGAAAACTCTAATCTCCCACATCCTTTTTCTGCCATCTTTCAAAATATGACCTTTTTTTTCTTATTTCATTGAAATAATGGAAACAATCAAAAGGCAATTTCGGTGTGCTTCTGCAACAGATATACCAACCTGTGCACATCAGTCCCTAAACATTCTACCTTCCCTCCAGGTAGAAGCTATACATTACCTTTGCTCCCTCTAAGGCTAGCCCCTCTTTCATGCATTGTGTTCCTCATCACATCTTAGGGAGATTGTTTCTACATTTGCTTTCTCTATCCTGTATCAGATTATACCTGTCTGCAGGAACATTCCCAATATTCTACATCTATGTTATAATATCACACATTCTAGAAGAAAGTCATTTGGCCTCAATACACTTCCAGATACCTCCCCAGTTCTCTGCTAACTTTTATAAAAAGTCACCTCAAAAGATTGTATTTAATCTCTCTCCACTTTTACACCCATTCTCTCTTTAACATACTTCATTCTGGTTTCAACTCCAACCACTTCCCAGGGACAAAGAGCTCCATATAGCAAAATCCAGTGGGCACTTTTATTTTCTTACTTCACTTACTGGGAAGCAGGTTTTGACACAGCTGGTGATTTCTTCCTTGAGACATGCTTGACCTCTGGAATACCACTCTCCTTTCATGATCCTTTTACCTCATGAAATGCTCCTTCTGGGCTTGTTCCTCTTTATCTTCACATCTGAACATGGTAGCTATCCAAGGTTCAATCTATAGACCTTCAGTACTCTCTCTTTCTATACTCAGTTTTCAGTGAACTAATTCGGTTAGTTTAGCTTTAAATGTCATTTATACACTATTTCCAGAATCATTTCCTTTGAATTCCAGATTCTAATATCTTACTGCCTATCTAACATGTCTAGGTGGATATCTCATATGAACTTCAAATCTAACATGTCCAAGTCCAAGTTATATATTTTCTCCCAAATCCCACCATTAAAACCTCTTCCCATCTCAGTAAACCAGAATTCTATTCATCCAGTTGCTTGGATCAAAAAAAAAATTGAAGCTTTTTTGACACCTCTTTTCCCCCACACACAATCTAACACAGTTCTGTTGATTTTACCCTTCAAGTATTGTTTAGAATCTCACCACTTCTCTCTCCACCTTGAGTATCTCAGTCCAAGGTAGCATTATCTCTTACGTGAATGCTTTCAGTTGTCTAAGTCATGTTTTTTTTTCTTTCTTCCACCCCAATTTCTCTGTAGTCTGTTTTCTTCTGCAGCAAAAAATATTCTATTAAAATATAAGTCACAGATTGTTTTCTGCTTAAAACCCCAATGATTTTACATTTCTATTATTTCTTTGAGAATTTCTTGCCTTCTCTATTTCTAATAGTAAGATGCTAGAAATCTTAGCTTATTCCTTCACATTTTGTTCGTTTCCTTTCATATTTAGTGTCATTGTATGTTTCTCTATAATCTTGGATATTTCCTTGGCTTTATTTTCTTGTCCATTAATTAAAAATTTTAATTTCAGAGATCTTAGTTTCACTTTCTATAAGCTTTCTCATAAACCTGTATAGATTATTTGTATAGCATTCTATTCTTGTTTTGTGAATATAATGCTTTCTTGAAACTACATAAATGTGAATTAGTGAATTCTTTTTTCTGATTTTTTATTTGCCCCTTTATGATGATTTTTCATTTTAATTTATATAGATCTTTCTCCTTTATGCTGTTCTTTTTTGTCTGAAAAATCTTGGTTGTCTGTTTATATTCAATCAAGAAGCATAAGTTAACAAGTGTGCATTTTCTCTGCTAATAGGTAAATGTTAGGTGTGTGCCATGCATGGTAGACTTGGAGATCAGTGTGTGGCTGGACATGATTTATTGACTGGGAGGTTTAACTTTAAATTGAATGAGCAGAGGCAGCTATTAGGTCTCAGGTCCCCCAGAATTCAAAACAAAGGGCTTTATTCTTGGCAGACGCATTCACAGCAGAAGCCTTGATTTAAGCAAGTAGGTCTACTCCAACTCTTCAGAAAAGAATCCCCTGGGGATTTTATCTAGAGGAGAAACACTCGAATTTTTCGTTGCTGCCAATTGGGAGTACTGATTGGTGAATTTTACCATATACAGATCTTCATTTAACATCTCTTTTTCATCCTTCTCATTTGTTCTTGACATAACTTCATTATAATCCCTCACAGCACATCTTGAACTTAAACTGTTTTGTATAGTTTCAGCCATCCATTAGCTTTCATGCTTCTTTGACTTTCAGAAATGAATTAAAATGTTTTCTCTACTGACAACTCAATTTTCTTACTTTTTAATTCTCCGCCTGGTTATGAATTTTTAATTTTTATTGTTTATAGTTCTACAGCTTAGTAGGCATGACCAGGTTTGTGATGGAAGAAACAACTTTCCCTGTCCATCTATTGCAGAGTTTGTGCTATTTAATGAGATCATCATATTTTCTCTGTGGGTTTTCCATTTTGGTGAACATATAATTTCCTTAATTTTTTTTCTCCCAAATTCTGGAAGGGCTATTCACTTCATCTATATCAATTACAAAACCAATGTTACTCGTGTCTAATGCAGTGTCTCTAACGCCAGGCCATGGACTAACATTGGTCCACCATAGCCTCTTAGGAACCGGGCTGCACAGCAGGAGGTGAGCAGTGGGTGAACCAGCATTACCATCTGAGCTCCGCTTCCTGTCAGATCAGTGGAGGCATTACAAGGGTGAACCCTATTGTGAACTCCACATGTGAGGGAACTAGGTTGTGCCCTCTTGATGAGGTAGAACAGTTTCATCTCCAGACCAGTCCCCACCTCGCACCGCTTGTCCGTGGGAAAATTGTATTCCACAAATCCCGTCCCTGGTGCCAAAAATGGTTGGGGACTGCTAGTCTAATGGAAATTCATTTTCATGCAGAAAATAGTCTTTATAATAGTTAGTATTAAAAATTGGTATAAAGATGAAATTGAATGGGTAGAATTTCAGTTCCACAGTATTTGATAAAAGTTTCTTTCTCTATGGAACATGGCAAAATGCGTTAATGAGAAAAAAAAAAAAAAAGTCTTGTTTTCCTTTGGTGGCATCATGATGATTACTTACCATGGGACATTTTCATTACTTACATATGTTTGTTGCTTTTTGATTTGTTAAGTGTCTATGATTCAGCATCATTTTCTCTAATGCAAGATGACGAGAAAACCCTCAAACCACAGTGGGTTCTGCTGGGATATCCTCTCAAAATATTCACATTTGTCAACCAAGTGTGGCATACTAAAAAGAAAAAAAATGAGACTTTTTAAAATAATAAAGTAGAAGTAACTCATTAATAGTTTCAACAATAAATGCCAAAATTCAGTTTTCCATTAAAAGGTTTTTGTCAAGTTGAAGAAAATTATTTCATTTTAATGGTTTTTATATTTTGTAACTTTAAAATTATTGGCATGTTTTAATTTTTTTCCCTTAGAAAAGTTATATTTAGTTATTTCACTACCAATTTGAATTTACAGCATATGCTTACTCTAATTACAAATTACTTTTCTAATTTAAACATTATGATCACTATATTCTTAGCATCTAGTAAGGTAGATAAATGTAAATGAATTTCAGCGATTTAGATATAATGTTAACATTCACACTCCTCCAATATTATTCAGATGACTAAGACATTTAGATTATCTTAATTCAAAGGTACCTAATATTCATTAATATCATTTTGTCATAGAGTCCAGCTATAATTACTTATGTAAATAAGTAAGTTAGTAGTAAAATATGTAATACACGACTGGGCTTGGTGACCCAGGCCTGTAATCCCAGCACTTTGGGAGGCCCAGGTGGGCAGATCACTTGAGCTAAGGAATTCGAGACCAGCCTGGGCAACATGACCAAACCCAGCCTCTACAAAAACATACAAAAACTAGCTGGGTGTGGTGGTGGGCGCCTGTAGTCCCAGCTACTGGAGAGGCTGGGGTGGGAGGATCGCTTGAGCCCAGGAGGCAGAGGTTGCAGTGAGCCAAAATCGCACCCATGCACTCCAGCCTGGGCAACGGAGAGAGAGCCTGTTAAAAATAAAAGTAATATATGTCCTATTTATAAAAGAATCATTTGGAGTTGCAAACATACTAAGTTATAACACAGATGAATTTGGTGATTGAATTTAATACATGGTGAGCAGGCCATTTTTACATAGGGCTAATTGCAATGCCATTTAAAGTAAGGAAGGTCCCCAAAAGCTATGCCCTAAAGTCATGTAGTAAGTACAAAAAAGTAAGAAGAGAGTTTTGCAAAGTTAATTTTTGAAGGGGTAAAGTCTCTGTTTTCTCTTCTTCTTAGCACAATTTTCTATGTCATAACTTCTCTGTGATCCTCACCTGGCCTCAGCTGCAGCTCAGCCTCTACCTGCTGCCATCCGTACAGGCTCCTCCCCTGCTTCTGTTGTTCTGCCCTCCTCTGCTCTGCATTGGAGACCCACTGCACCTGGCCTGAGATTCTCAAGGACTCCTGTTAGAAACAATTTTTCTGCCCTCTTTTCTTCTTGCAAAATTTACCGTCTTGCAAAATTTGCCTACATCGGTAAATTTTCCAAACTTTTGTTAATAAAGCTAATCAAGAAAAAAATTTTGAGCATTCAACTTCAGAATATTATTTTTGGTTATTTGTACATTGGATGCATGAACTGCTGTATGAATATATGTGTTTCATAACACATACAAAAATAAAAATTAAGGGTAACTGAGGAAAAAAGTGGTTAGTGAAACTTTATTCCTATACTCTGATAGAAGTCTAGTATTTCCTTTGTGGGCACACTCACTCTAGAGACAACTGCATAGATCATTACTTTGGGTACAGCCATGTGGTTGAAAATCAAATAAATTATTTCTTGTAGGATATTGATGAGGGCCATTGACTTAATGTCTCTCTGTTTTCAGACATGGTTGTACTTGAATAAGAGTTTTTCTGCTGAAGATATGACACATTATGGTATCACAATCTGTGTGAAAACCCCGACGATGGAAATTTTTAAGGGGAAGCATTACCTCAAAGCCCCCTTTGCATAAACTTAAAATTGACCATAGAGACAGATATTTTTACAAGAAGATACAAATTTGTAAAAGGAGATGCTACCAATTAGGTGGGTATTGGAACATGTAAACACTTTTGGGGATATTTCTCTAATAACAGTCCTTGGGTTGGAGTAGCACAGAGTTATACTTTATTCTGAGAATTATTTTCTTATTTGTTTATTCTCTTTAATTGCAGATATATAAAATGGCTATAGCTTATAGTTTCAATATGGTTGCTACTTCAATATTTAAAAAATTACAGTTTTTTTCTAACTAGAAAGAATTTTAGATTTTATTTCATCCAACCTCTTTATTAGGCAGTAGAGTAATTTGAGAGTAGAGAGGTTTAGTGGCCCTATTGAGGTCACAGAGGTACTGACAGGACTAAGGCTTTACAATCCAGCTCTTCTTCCTGTAGGACCAGGATGCCTTCTCTTCTCAATCAGCAGAAATATAAAGGGATCCTATCTGAAAAATGCTCTGAACTATGTGCCTCTGCTTGCATTCAATTTGCTACAGGGAGTGTCAACTATAGATCCCAGAGTTTAAAATCTCATCCATATTACAGCTATGGTGACTTGGATTTATAACTCAGAGAACAATTTTTCTAATCAGTCTTGGTGAGCAGAGCAGGAATGAAGCATAAAGAGGAAAAAGATAGACCAAAACTTATGTATAGTAGAATCCAAGCATACAGAAACTTGGAAAGGCTCAAGAAGCCTGTAGAAAAATATGTTCTAGTTTTATGAATCTCTCTTGCAAAGAGAATTTTTAGAGCTCTGTTTTCAAAGTATCTAAACTGGAATGGGATTTGGATGATAGAGAGCCAAGACACTGTGGTGAAGACAAATGAGGAAGCATGCGTAGATATACACTGACTCTGAATAACCAATTATTGATTTGAATTAAACTTTGAAGAACCCCAAGGACTTTTTTAGAAGATGGAAACAGAATGAGGAATACTGTTTCCTGAGTACTTAGGATGCACCATGAACTGTTACCTTAAAGACATTGATTGGGTATCCTTTGATCTGCCATTTCTTTGAGTTAAAGACCCCTCTTCAGGTGCAACTATATGCCACACTCTAACATAACCATATATTTGTTACTTCCTATTGTCTGTTGCTCTTATTAAAATGTAGCCTCCCTCTTAGATATATATCTAAAAGAAATGAAGGCATATGTCCACATAAAAACCTGTTCATGAATGTTCTTAGCAACATTTTTCACTGTAAACAAAATAGTAGAAACAACTCCATCTACCACCTGATGAATGGATAAACAAAATGAGGTATACCCGTACAATAAAATATCATTCAGTGACAAAAATGAGGAAGTACTGACATATGTTATAACATGATGAAACCTTGAAAATATGCTAAGTGAAAGGAGGTCAGTTACAAAATACTACATATTATATAACTCCGTATATTAACTTGCTAGTATTACCATAATAAAATATCATAATCTGGATGGCTTAAACACAAGAAAGTCATTTTCTCTCAGTTATGAGTGCTAGAAGACCGGGATCAAGATGTGAGCAGGTCTGGTTTCACCGGAGGCCTCTCTCCTAGACCACCTCTTGCTGTGATCCTCACACGGCCTTACCTCTGTCTACTTATGCCCCTGATGTCTCTTCTTCTCATAAGGACACTGCCCTATTGGATTAGGGCTTCATTCTTATGATGTCATTTAGTCTTAATTACTTTTTTAAAGGTCCTCTCTCCAAATACAGTCACATTCGAGGTTAGAGCTTCAACACACAAATTTTGGGGAAACAAAATTTGTTTCATAACACATTTATATGAGATATCCAAAATAGGAAAATCTACAGAAACAGAATGTAGGTTTGTGGTTGTCAGGGTCTAGGGAAATGGGAAAATGAAAAGGGATTGCTAATGGGTACAGGGGTTTTGGAGGGGATAATGAAAATGTTCTTGAGTTAGACAACGGTGATGGCTGTAAAACCCTGTGAATACATTAAGCACCATTGAATCATACACCTTTAATGAGTAGATTTTATGGTGTATAGATTATATCTCAATAAAGCTGCTTAAAAATGCAATCTCAATGTGGTAAAGGCACATTTGGAGATAGAAATAACGTCAGTTAATTTAACAAAGATAATTTAATAAGTAATGAGGAAGTGGGAAGACAAAAAAAAAAAGACTCTAAAGTATCACAAAAGTAGCAACTGGCACCCTTAGAGCTGGGAAAACAGAGAGACTGGAATTATTTAACATTTAGCAGCTTAGAGGAGATGAAATTTAGACCTTTAGGAAGGCACTCCCTGGCTGATGCTAGTGTCTCTGAGGAAAGGTGATACAGATTCTTTGAGTCTTGCAAAAACTGTGACATGGAATCAAGTACTGCAGGTGGAACAAGCTGGCCCTGCTGGGGTGACGGAGTGTTATGAGAAAAATGCTGTCAGAATCAGGAGGCAGGCAGGAGGCAAGCAGGAAGAAGGGTGTGCTATCCTCCTCCATTCGCCTCCAGGTTCCTCAGGGAGCCCCCTGTTTTTAGATCCTAATAGAAAGCAGCTGGCAAAGGAGAACTGTAATTTGTAGGGTTCCAGCCCTAGCATCAGAAAGCTGATGATACAAGGATGAGTTAGAATTCCAGAGACAATGGCTAAACTAATGACACACAAGGTGTGGCTTAGCATAAACTACAGAATCTCTTCGACCTTTTCCAACCCCAGTGATTGTAGAGTCAAAGGGTTCATATAGTAGAAGAACAATGACCAAACGCTGGTCCACCTCCAATCCAGTACAGTGGGTGATTATCTAAGGTAGTTCTCAGACCCCTTTAAGGTATTCCCCTGAGCGTATCTTGCTGGGTGGTCAACACATTCCCTGGGTTTCTTGAGAAGCCTAATTAACCTGGCCACCCAGACAGACACCTGTCCAGCTCTGCTGCTTTCTATCTCACTAGGCTGGAAGATGGCCAGAGGTGCATAAGAAGCTGGGTAGCCCTAATCCCTTTGGTCTCCAAAATGCCACAGATTAAGTGAAGTAGTTTTAAGACCCTTGTTTGCATTTTCAACAACATAGTCTTACCTAACATATATTTTAGGTATTGATACAATAAAAGAATTTCAAGACCAAGCTGAACTTCTGTGCTTCAATCTATATTACATGATAGCAAGTAGATGCATATTAACAAACTTTTATAAGAAAACATTTACGCTGAGTGCAGTATTATGATATA